TTAATGACATTGCATAAGATGCTGTAATTGCATTTTGAAATTGATCTTGATTTTTCCCTATGATAAAATGGAAATGAGATGGTTACAATTCATAACTTAAATATAACATTCTGAGATATCGGGTGCCAGTTTTTTAAACTTGGGTTCATTATACTGTTGCTGTCTCTCTATCCCCCCTCACATGCACATACGCACGCACACGCACATGCACACACACACACACACACACACACACACACACACATAGTGCATTTAATGACATATCAAGGAGTTTTCTTCCAATTATCTACAGTTTGAGGAAGACAGATTTTTAAAAAATTCAGGCAGGAGTTGATAAACAAGTTGAAGACCTGGCAGAGAATGAAAAATGAATTACTGAAACCAGAGGCAGAACTATCCTAATGAAAATGAAGAATGAAAAAAGCTTTAAAGAGTTGTGAGCTCACCAACTCACAACAAAGAAGCAAAATGGAAATGTATAGGAAATGGAATCTAATAACTAAGGACGAGTACTAAGTGGTAGTTCTAACTGTAGACTAGAGTGAGAAGGCTAAAGCTTGAAATGGATGACTGTAGCTTTTTCAGCTGGTAATCTACTAGCATTTTGAAATCCTTCTCACTAAGTATCACCAAGTCTAATCATTCCTGTACCTATGTATTTGATTTGTCCTATTCATGAGGAAGACCTTGCTGTTACCACATTTGACCATTCAACTTATTTGATTTGGTCCAATGTTTGGCTTCAGTTCATAATGTAATTTTTGTCTTCTGAAATATTAGCTATCATCTGCAAAATTGATAGATGCTCCTTCTACTCCATTCCCTTTGTCATTAATAAAGATATTGGATAATAGTTACCCAAAGACAGAACTGCCAAGGGACCTCACTTCATACGTCTCATACGTACAGAACCGTTTACATTGCTGCCTGGAATATTTGGGGATATCCTTATGCAATATGTATCATCAAGGCGTATTAGCAAAATATTGTAGAGCTCTGCAAATTTTGGGGTTTGCGTATAAACGATGCTGGCAACATTGCAAAGATGGTTTGGCGGACTTGTCGTTACAAGGCTTATTCAAAGAATAAAAATAATGTTTGTTTATCGTGTATTGTAATCAGTGATGTTAAAGAATGCATTGTATTTTTTATTTAAGTGAAACTTTGCTTTATTAATAGAAATGGTGAACTATAGAATCAGTTTGGTCTAGTGATTAAGACATCAGGTTAAAAACCAGGTCACTGAATTCTAGCCCTGCCTTAAGCATGAAAGCCAGGTTGGTGTCTTTGGGCCAGTCATTCTCTCTCAGCCCTATTCACCTTACAGCGTTGTTGCTGTGGGGAAACCAGGAGAAAGAAGGAGTATCAGGTATGTTGGCTGCCTTGAGGTATTTATAAAAATATTAAAGGTAGGATTAGCATTAGCATTAGACCCTCCCATGCTAGGTAAGATGAGCTGTAGTGGTGCAGTGGTTAGAATGCAGTACTGCAGGCTACTTCTGCTGCCTGCCGGCTGCCTGCAGTGTGGTAGTTTGACTATAACTGGCTCAAGGTTGACTCAGCCTTCCATCCTTCCGAGGTTGGTAAAATGAGGACCCAGATTGTTGGGGGCAATATGCTGACTCTGTACACTGCTTAGAGAGTGCTGTAAAGCATGTCAAACAGTATATAAGTCTAAGTGCTATTGCTATTGCTATATCAGGCAGCCAGGATCTCTAGCACTTTCGGTCTTTGGTGAGTAATTTAGTGTCTTCCCATGTGATGTTTAGAGTCCTTAAGTCGTCTATGAATGTATTTCGCCATGTAGTTTGAGGGTGTTGTCTTGGCTGTGGGATAGATAAATAAAATTTATTGATATGATTTAGTTTAAAATCTGAGAATTTTTTTTAAATTTAAGGACTGATAAGTCTGCCTTCCTTTTTGATAGACATGCAGTGGTTATGGAATCAGGATGCATCTCGAGATTTGCTCCTTGCCGTTCATCCTCCCAATTATATTGTGTTATGGAATGCTGATACTGGCACCAAATTGTGGAAGAAAAGTTATGCAGAAAACATTCTTTCTTTTTCATTTGATCCTTTTGATCCTTCAAATTTAACATGTAAGTTTGATATCAGAGAACTAATGGTCTTCTAGTCCATATGTATGACTATTGCTATTAATCAGATATTTGTTACTGGATATAACTGCCAGTTGCATAGAAATTAATAAAAATTAGGCCAAAAGCAATATAAAATGATTGAATGAATCTGGTATGACATTTTGTGAAATAGCTTGGAAACTAATTGTGATTTGAGGATTGCTAGTTTGAAACATACCTTAAGTAAATACTAATGCTAAGCACTCTAGTTATTTAAATTATTTGATAGTTCTGCTATCAAAAGGATATGTTTTTCAGGTTCTAAAGCAGACGAATAAAGGATAAGAACAAGAGCTTTGAATTTGCAATCAAAACATGCATATAATGCTATGCTGGTTTGTAACTTGACTTCAGAACATGACCAGTGTAAAGAAGCTTCCAAACTGCTCAGATAATGCCCATTTATACCTGTGATGTTTTGTACAGCTGTGTTATTCTGTAATACAAAGATTTATTTATTTATTTATTTATTTATTTATTTATTTATTTATTTATTTGATTCATAGCTTTCTGCTTTAGAAAGTACTCGAAGTCACTATTTTTTTAAATATATATATATATAAGGACAAAAGGAAATGCAGAAGAATCATTATTTAGTATAGCTGTACCCAGCCACGCGTTTTTGCTGTGGCTGTCTGGTAAAAGCGTGTGTTGCTTTTACGTCCAACAGATGGTGCTGTTTTTTTAAAAAAGCATGTTTTACCTGTCACAGGTGTGACATCTATATAATATAGGTATATAAAAACGCGCGTATTCGAATGCAACGTTGTGTCAAAATTTCAATCGGTGAAGAACTTTCGGAGATTTAAGATTTTGAACAAACGAACATTTACATTTTTATTTATATAGATGTTTACTCCACATAAATCCATTGGTACTTAGTTCCAAGTATGTAGTGTACTTACAGATAAGTGTACTACAAGTTAAGCAGTTAAGAACACCTGAAGGTTTTGAGAAGATAATGCTTTGTTTACACTGCTTCATTTTGAAGTAACAAATACAATGTACTGAAGATTTTTTTTTCTTAGTACTCATATACATAAAAACCATATAAATTTAACTATTGAGACTGTTTGGCCTATAATCAATGAAAACAAAATAGTCCTCTGGTTTTTTGCCAAGAACATTCCTTTGAGCTGTCTGCCATCTACTTCAGCACTGCATGAAATTATTTACATTTGAACTCTATTAGTATAGTAACCATGAAATTATATGATTTAACTACTTTGTGTATTTACTACTATTATCTTTTTTCATGCAGTGCTTACAAGTGAAGGAATAGTGTTTATTTCAGACTTCTCTCCTTCTAAAGCTCCTATCAGTTCAGGAAAAAAAGTCTACATTTCCAGCCCTCATTCTAGCCCTGTTCATAATAAGTTGGTATCTGCCACAGGAGCTAAAAAGGCTCTGGACAAAGTAAAAATTCTCATCACTAATGAAAAACCAAGGTATTTATTAACTATGATTTCTCCCAATGTTCTCAAGAATTATTCTTTTCAAACTGCCTTACTTAATAATCATGTCCTTAACAATCATAAACTTGATCATTGCATTTTTCCCCCTGGCAAACGTTGAAATATATATTTTATTTCTTTCTCATTCCATATAGTTTTCTTCAAATACTTAATCAAATATATCAATTTATATTGTAATGTGATTTTAACAAGCAAACATTAACTCTAAAGTAGAATTAAATAGTTACAATGTTGCTTCATTTTTCAATAGCTTTGATGGCAATTTCAACTTACTTTTTATGTCTGTTTAAATTCTAGTGATTATAATGTACAGAATTATCAAAAATGAAACTGGGGCTGTCAGTGCATTCTTTGTAGCTTAATAAGTGGTACAGACAATTTTTTGTGGTATTTTAAAATTTAAACTCTAAGCTTTTAGTATTTCTCTTAGTCTATATCCTCCAGTTGAATTACCAAATCAATTTTGGATTGGTTAGGGTGGGGAAAAATTATGTAAAGCTGGAAAGCATTGGGAAATAAGTAAGTTGTTCCCTTTCAACTACTAATGCATTAATGCAAGGCAATCAATCAAAATATTGGTTACTTGGATAAAATCTACAATCCTATATTAGCCCATATATACTGTCACATTAATTGATAAGTGAGATGTATACTTTACCTGGACTTTATAAAATGAATACCACCAGCCAGAAGTCAATACATCAAACAATAGATTCATTTTGGCCTAGTCAGAACTTATGAACAAAGTGAAATATAAAATTCCTTTCATCAGTTCAGATATGAATTGCAGTATATGTTAATACAATGTTCACTACTTGCACTATCAATTAGCAAAAGAGCAAGAATAAAAAAACAGTCATTGTAGTGTCTGCTATGCAATTTTATATACATATACTATCATATATTTGTTATTTTATTTATTAAAATTTTATGCCATTCATCTCTCCTACAAAATGATTCCTGAGCAGCTTACAAATTATCCAAACAGGTGAAAAATAATTAAAACAAATCAATGTTGAAATGTTATTAAAAACTGCTAAAAACATGCCTACAAGCCAAGAGACCTGAAATGCATATGTAATTTGGTCGTGGATTTAATTTTAATTATTTGATTATTAATTGCTTGATAAAACATAGCCCACTTTCAATTAAAAGTATGTAATAAGTGTATTTGTGGTCTGTTTAGTGCTGAATCAGTAACATTGAATGACTGCCTTCAGCTATCCTACCTACCTTCCAAGCGAAATTACATGTTATTACTGTACCCAAGAGAAATCTTGGTTCTGGATCTTGAAGTCAATCAGACAGTAGGTGTAATAGCAATTGAAAGAACAGGAGTGCCTTTTCTACAGGTAATAAATGCAACTTACTGTTTAGCATACTTTAGAAAAAAAGTTATACATTTCACTCTCTTCTTTCTTTAACACACAAAAATTCTAAATAAAAAGAAATCTGGCTTCATTCTCTGGTTTTGGTTTGATATATGAAGTACAATCTAACTTTTTTTCAGAAAGCTGCTTCCAAAAACATACCATGTTGTTTGCTTTGTATGGAAAGTACATGCCTTTGAGTCAGTATTGATTCCTGGCAGCTGCCTGAAGTTTTCTTGGTAAAATTTTCAGAAGTGGTTTGCCATTGCTTTTTTCTTAGGAATGAGAGACAGTGGCTGGCCCAAGCTCCAAGGTTACACTGCTGGCTTAGTGCCTAAGGCATGACTATAACTCATATTATCTCTCTATGTATATATATAATAAATTAGGTGACCAGTCTGCCCTTTTAGTTTTAAAATCCAAAAGCAAATTTAATTATGTTTTCTGCTTTGAAACATAACAAAGGAGATTACCCTTTTTTCAACCTATATAAAAGTATCTTCTCTTGACTCACTTAGACGGTCATGACATATTATATCTTAAAATAGTGTGATTTTATAAGAATGACAAATTTACTTACGTATTAAATTACAACTTCACACAATAACAATCGTAAAATTCAACGTTGACTAACAAATTCTTGACAAGTTTCTTATGACAGCCTCAGAAAGAATGCGTTACAACTTCTGGCCTTCGTAAAATCCCACACCCGCTCTGTGGTCACATGATCGCAATCTTGGATGCTTGGCGATCTGTTCACACTTATGATCAATTGCAAAGCTGTCTGCAATGATGTCATGCCATTTGCAGTCTTCTCCTGCTGGCATCCCCAGAAAGTCAGTGTTGCAAGCTACTGCTGCCTGCAGCCCTTCTCCTCCATGGATGGAGTGGAATTCCTCAGAAGGGCTGAAGAATGGAGCTCAGATCCTGAAGATTTGACTTCCATTACTGCAGAGCTCCAAAGGAGCCCCCTCTTACACACAGAGGGGAAAGCAACTCTCCCAAGGAGCTGCAGAAATGGAGATCAGATCCCAAAGATCTGAACTTCATTTCTGCAACCTTTGAATGAGTTGTCTGTGCACAGAGGGGAGGCAAATTCCAGCGGGCTACAGGAACAGAGCTGGAAACTTCAAGACTGGAGCTCCATCTCTCTACCCTACTGGAGGAGTTCATCTCCTTTCCGGGAGTGGGAAAAAAAGAACTCGGATTCTGAAAAATCCAGCTCCGTTCCTGCAACCCGCTGGAGCAGTTCCCTTCTCCAAACTGAAGGGAATTCAGCAGGCATCCCCCTTCACTGTGTCCGCTTAATGACCCAGGAGATCTCTTAACAAATGTAATCAGGAGGAATGGGATTGTAGTTGTTGAACAAAGCAGTCACATAGGTGTCTTGTTTAATGACCACTTTGCTCAGTGTCTGAGATTCCAGTCCCAATTGCAGTTGTAAGTCACGGACTATCTGTAATATTATATCATTCACATTAAAAGGATTTTCCCCCTTTGCCATCTCCTGATCTATGTATATTGTGTTCCCACCATTAAGGGAAATATACTAATCTGATAAAATGGTATTGCTTAAGATAGATAAGATAACCTTTATTGTCATTTTTTTTACTGTGGGCACAATGGCACACATCAAAAATGAAATTTAGTTGCCCGCTCTCAAAAGTGAAACACATACATGACACACACATAAACATACTATGAACAACATATGTATAGATCCACACCCCTACATATATGTAGCAAATAAATATTAAATACTGTCCATCTTGAATATATAACGGAAGGAGGAAGCTTGAGAGTTCACAAGGTTAATGCTGTATGGAATGAAACTATGCTGAATCTGGATGTGTTCATTCTTTATTTTTTATTTACAAATAACCTGAAAAGTATTGTTCAAGAGATATATAAGAACAATTGGAACAATTGGAAAAGTAGGCTGGGCATTCTTTAAGCTGCAAAGTTAAGTTAAGACTTTAAAATGAAACTGGTGAGCTTTAGGGTAGCTAAATTCTGTTTTAAGATCCAATATAGAAACACTTCATAAACAGCTATGACAATTCCTACTCATTAATGCCCATGAAATTTATATTAAAAGTGTTACTCTCAGTCGCTTTTTTATATCTTTGTCTAGGTAATTCCTTGTTGTCAGCGTGATGGATTGTTCTGCCTGCATGAAAATGGCTGTATAACTCTGAGAGTTCGCAGATCTACCAGTAATTCAAGTGTTGTCTCAAATGAAGAGTCAGCAGGTAATTCACCAATCATATGCCTGTCACCATAAATTCATATGACTTTATGTTTTAACTGACAGTTAGTTTCACTGTTATTCAGATTACATGATTGTTTAGATTGCAGCTAGAATTAAAAATAAGTACAATTTTAGCGTGATGATATTTCATTATTTAAAGCGGATAACATGCTGATAATCCAATATAATAAAGCTTTGTGTGAGTACAGATACAGAAATGGATGGACTTGGACAGTAATCAAAGGGAACAGTCTATATATGCTGTGATAATGTACATTGTATGTTCCTATACTTAAGGCTCTAGCAACCATTTACTGAGTCTTTTATTATGTTCACTTATTCTCCATAATGTGGTGTATGGCAAATTAACTTTCTCTGCTAGAAAGTATTCAGCTTTTTACATCAATGTTGCAAACTAGCTTGAGTTCTATCATATTAATTTTACAGTGAAAAACAAAAGACTAACAGGAATGCATTTAATTCTTAGAACTGATAGCTGCAAATGTCTGATATCTTACATTTTAACATTTACAGATCCTGAGCCCATTCAGGAACTTATTTATGACTTACGAAGTCAGTGTGATGCCATTAGGGTTACTAAGACTGTTCGCCCGTTTAGTATGGTGAGCTGTCCAGTTAATGAAAATTCTGTAGCTCTTATAGTCAGTGATGGAAGAGTAATGATATGGGAGCTGAAATCCACCATTTCAGGCCAAGGTATACGTACCAGGTAACTTAGTGTCATTTTTATTCCATTACATATGTATATAGGGCAGTGGTGGCGAACCTATGGCACAGGTGCCAGAGGCGGCACTCAGAGCCCTCTCTGTGGGCACGTGCACCGTCGCCCCAGTCCTAGGCCTTCAGCTGGGTTTTATAAAACCTTTTCACTTTCGGCCTCTGCCGCCATGTGCAAAAAAAAAAAAAAAGGTTCAATCAGTCAATTTCAATTTCTCGCGGGAAAAAAAAATCTTGCAAAGTCGGAATTGATTGATTGAACTTTTTAGTCCCACTCAGTCTGTCGTTACCACTGCAGCCACGCCCAGCCAATGGGCCACGCCCAGCCAATGGGCCACACCCACCCGGCACTCGACGATGCATAAGTGGGTTTTGGGTTGCAGTTTGGGCACTCGGTCTCTAAAAGGTTCGCCATCACTGATATAGGGAATGCTTGAAAATAATTATTACACAGTATTTCTGGCATAATAAACCAAAAATTGTAGCCTGTTTGTGGTACCACCTTTCTAGAGCCAGCAAGAATGAAATTTAATACAAACGCAATCTTCAAAAAGTAACATGAACCATAGTTTTCAGCTAATAACTATGTGAAGATAATGCATAGTAAAACTTGCATGTGGTTTATATGAATTGTAGTTCCATTGCCACTTGATGCTACATGAATCCCAGTACTTTATTCTTTAAGGAACCATACTTGCTATGGATAAAGATGGTCATCATTCTAAATGTTTGCACTCCCACTTACCCAAATCAGAGCTGCTTGTCTTTGTGCTTCAACTTCAGGAAAATTCTTAATACTTGAGGCAGAAATTTTTGCTATATTGGGTTTTAGGTTATGTCAGATGACAGATATTTGGAACCAAAGTAATATAAGAAACATTAAGCAAATCGTATAAATAAAGCTACTGGCAGCGTTTTGGACTTGGCTTGCTGCATGCTGAGAATCTATGTGGTCATTAAGAGTTGACAGCAACTTGATGGCATGTAAGCAGTCAATCGTTCAATGCTGAGCTTGTAATCCCCAAAGTAGTTTGAAATGCTACTCAAATCTAATAAGATATTAATAAAGTAAAACATAAATTTTGCCAAAAATTCTGTAATGTCTATGATTGTAGGCATAACTTTTAGAGTAATAATGTTATAAACTTATATTTAGATAACTAGTCATCAAAAGACAGTGAATTGTTTTAGCATTAATAAGCTGGTAGCTTCCGCCATATCCTAGCAATATATTGTTTTAGCTAGCACATATTAAATTTTAACGCACTAGAAAGGAATTTGTATCTGCAAATTTATGGAGTAAATATATTAAATGGCAAATTTTATCAAATTTCATTGGATTTTGTTTATCTCCTCAATATATTTCACTGTTGACAAGTAATTAACACTAGCTAAAACACTCACTGTTACTCTTAGCACATGTGGGAGTAGATAACATCTGAAATATACATGAATTTTAGTCAATTGATTAGGAAAGTATTACTCTTTTAAGAGTTCATGAAAATAAATTATTTATTCCAGCCATAAATAATAGTAATTCAGATACTTTTATGGGGAAATTAAAAACAAATACATGCAGGAACTGTTAGAGAAGAGATTAAATCTACTCTCTGATGCTTTCATTGTAACCAGTGAAAATCAAGGCTCCCTTATACTGCTTGGTACCAATCCTCGTATACAATTCTATCTGGGTTCTATTTGTTGTTTATATTAGAAGATAATTCAATGCTGCATGCTGAAGTTTTCTTGTTGCTATTTTTAGCCATTCCAGCATATCACCCTTGTATTCACCTATCTCATTCTGTGGAATTCCTGTTGGAACCTTGCAGAATAAGCTTCCAGATCTGTCACTGGATAATATGATAAGTAAGTGGAGGAAAAAATATAGAACTATGAATACATTGTTGATACACATGCATATGTGTGCAGACTTTTAATTTTACTCACAAATAAACTATTGAAAGTATTATTTTAGGAAATTGCAACTTTGGAATATTTCCATTTATTATTAAGCAATCATAATTACAAAGACTTTTGTGGCATCCTTCATTGTAAAATCTTTTATCTTTAAAGCCCACAAGGATAAATGCAAGAATATTACATCTGGATAATAAAAATGCAGGGTGACACCCATACATAAATATTCAGAATGATAAATCTACAAAAACCTGCTCACAATAAATATTTTCTTACATTTACAGTGTCAAGACTGTTGAAAGGTGTTGCTTCTCTTGGATTTTCTAAGGATTTTTCTGTATTTTCATTTAGTTCTCTCTAATATATTCTGGTCTATTTCCCTCTCATTCTTTAATAACAAAATGTTGGGTCATGGCAATATAATGAAAAGATGTGAGAGAATTAAAAGTTGGATATACTCAAGGTTAAATTGTCAGGAAATGAAACATGAATTATACTGTGTGGGTGACTTTGGTTTTGATTAAATATGTGCATTATTAAATAGAAGAATGCACAATTCCCACAGAAATTAATTCAGGTTGTTCTTAGATAATGCTAATATGTAAAAAGTAACCTTTCGGTTCAAGTGGATTCATGCTTAAGCATAAGCAATTACCTATTAAAACCATTACTGTAATGGAAATATTTTTTCCTGCAATATTATAATATATACATACAGACACACACATTAATTTTACACACACACACACACACCCACACACACACAGAGAGAGAAAGAGAGAGAGAGAGAGAGAGAGAGAGAGAGAGAGATGCATATTGTCAGAAACAGCTTTTTTCTTTTGTGTCCTACAATAAAGGTGCATTATCTACCGAAGAGCAAGCAAAAAGTTATTGTTTGCAAGAAGTACATTTGAAGTTCATTTTAACAGGATTACTTTCAGGACTTCCTTTGCCTCCATTTGCTATTCGCATGTGTCCACCTCTTACCACCAAAAATATTAAGCAATATCATCCCCTGCTTGCTGTTGGTAAGTATTGTTTAAAGAGTAACGTTCATTATATTGTTCAGTTCAACTATGAATTAATAGGTTTGTGTAATTCTCAGTGCAGTTTCAGAAAATATTTCTATAGGAAATAGCTTATCACTAAGCTGCTTGAAAATATACTTCCTCTTGATTGTAGGTTTTTATGCTTCATATTTTAGAAATTGCAATTAGTAACATTTTTTCAGACTATAAACCAGTAAAAATGTAATGTTCTAAAATGAATCTGACCAATTATCTCTTTAATTTTTGTTATAAAACATTGTCTCAGAAAGATGGGCTTATGTTTGACTGTATTTTCCTTTAAAAATATTATTTGTCACCCAATTAGAATTCTCTAGGTCACATATAAAAATACTTAAATACTACAGAATTGTTGTCATAGGTAAAATTTTATATAATTGAACAAATATTAAAATAGCCTACTAAAATTCAAATTCCTAAGAAGAATTCTATAGAAACTAAAAACCAGTATAACAGTTTCTAAAGTAACATAATTTAAAAGAACTGTGTGATCATCCCTCAGGGGAATGTAGGGAAAATAAGAAAGAAGAGAAGTCTGGATAGTGAACATTGCCATATCTGAACACAACAGAATAGAACTGGAGAAAATTGCAAACTACAAATACCCCCCAAATAGAAGTGTAATAACTCTTACAGAAGAAAGCAAAGATAGTACCAACAATAATAGCCACTCTTAGTGCAATTCCAAAACCTATAGAATACTACTTGAATACTATGGCATTGACAAAATCACTATCAGTCAATTGCAAAAGACAACTTTACTTGGAACAGCTTACATCCTGAGATGATATCTCTCACACTATCAACGAACAACATCTGCCTATCCCAGGACCTTGGGAAGGACTCAATAGATGGATAAATCCAGTCTAAAGAACTGGCTGGCTATATGAAAGAATTTGATAGGTAGATAAAAATGCCAAATCTATCTAAAATCTGGCTGACTGTAAGGAACCATAATAATAATTCAAACAATACCTGTCTTTCCCAAGTCCTTGGAGAGGACTTGACAGGTGAATTAAAATGCCAAATCTAATCTAATCACCTGTATTACTGCGACAGATCATAATAAAATATAAAATATGATATAAAAATTTGACTGACTGCACAACAAACTATAATTAAAAAACCAACAGTAATAATTATTAATGCCAGGTGAAATTCTCTCGAGTGGCACTTCAGAATTCAGAATCAGTGCTAAAAGGGGTTATTTAAAGCTGTATGATGAGGAGCTGATTATCTTCCCAGTATTATCGTACCATCTGATTCCTGTGATCCCTGTCCATTGACCCTACAGTGAATTTTCTTCTTATCCAGGTTAAAGAAAACATTTACTC